TTTATTTTTTTCGTTTTACTAATTAAAATTTATTTAATTTTATTATTATATTTATTATATTAGGGAGACACGGCGGGCTCTCCACAAATTTTTATCGGCCCATGAGAAGATCACACTGGCCCACCTCCACATTCTGCCTGGATCACGTGACCCACATTACCTTCCACGTCTGCTCCATATTTTCTACGAGCAATTTCTCCACAATGTATCGCCAGAAAACAAAAATCCAAAAACCTTTAAAAAAAAATAAAAATAAATGCATACCTTATTTAATACATCAAATAATGTTATATATATATAGTAGAATTAAAATTACTATATATTATTATATATACATATAAATGCATATCTTATTTAATGCATAGAGTAATATTATATATATTTTTTGCATACCTTATAATATTCATTTAAATTGTCTTTGTCGAGAAATTATTTGGCCATAATCTTGCCTCTTTATCTATCAAAAAATTAGTTTTTTCAATTACCTATGTTATATTATTATCATAAAGTTAGGTTAATATTTATTTTTTTTCAATTACTTATATTATATATATTATTATATTACTATATATACATATAAATGCATACCCTATTTAATACATAGATTGTCATTATATATATATATCTAAATCTTTAAAGAGAAATGTTGTCTTTAATTAAATTAAATTTATTTATGAAATGATTAAATTATTCTTAAAGTGAAAGGCATTTGAGGTCATTTGGCAAGTTTCCTTTGACTATAAATAGGCTATTCATTTGATGAAAAAGAAAGAAAAAGAGAAGAAGGAGAAAAGAAGAGGATAGTAAATTTAAAACCTCTCGACAATTCTCAAAGTTCTAAGCCCCAACTAAGGAAGGTTTCAACTCTTTGCCAATGAGGAAAAATTTCCAAGACAAATTTCAAATCCCTTAATAACTAGATCAGGCTAAGGTGCTTACCCTTCTAAATTCGATTGTCAATCAAAGGATCATGTTATTCTAGAACACGCCATCATTTAAAATTTGAGTGCATACATTGTAACACTCCCAAACCAAAGATTGTTTCTCATTTTTTTCAAATTCATTGTAATTTATATTTATTATTTTACAAATCAATATAAATTTTGTAGATTTTGTGACTACAATGAGAAACAAGATGTTAAATGTGAGCTTCAAAGACAGATTCAAGGAAGAGTTGGATGGGACTCAAGTGGAGTTATAGGCAACCCATCCTAACCATTGATGGATCTTAGCAAGTGGAGTTAAGGGCAATTTTTTTTATAACTATTGATAGAGGAGTAGGCCTTCGATATTAAGACCTATCCCTCTATCAAAGTTTAAAAAAAGTACAAGACTGTAAAAGTGTATTCTCTTATTTAAAAACTATTCATCTAGTGTTTGCAACTTACCAAAATTGTTGTTTTTAGTTTTCAAAATAAAAAATTTTCTACAAAGATACTAAACAAACCAAAGTAGTTAATATCGTACCGGTATGCGTACCAGTTTTGCTACTGGAACGGTACGTACCGGATACTGAAATTTTTCGTGTACCGTTTCGGATTTATCGCTATAAATATATATTTTTATAAATTAAATATCAAATTTTAAAATAAATATAAGAGATACTAATATTTAAAATTATGATATTCTTATAAATTAAAAATAAGTTTAAAATGATCATTTTTAATCTCTCAACTTTTAATATATGTATATTTTTTGTCCATCCACTTTAAATTAAAGGACTAAAAATGTTTATATTTAAATAAATTTAACAAAATAATTGATAAAAAGACTAAAAAAAATGAAAAATAAATTAAAAAAGTACATAAAAAAGTTAAAGGATAAAAACTATATATGACATTAAAGTTGAGGATTAAAAATGAAATTTACCCTTTTAAATTTGAATTTGAATTTGAATTATACGGACAGCTTCGTGTATTGCAGTTGCAGGCTTTTGAAAAAGCCCTTAGCCCAAAACGACGTCGTTTTGGGCTAGGGAATCTTTTTTTTTTTTAGTTTGCAGTGTGTACCGGCCGAAATTTCGGTGAACCGGCCGGTACACCGAAATTTCGACCGGTACATCGAATTTTAACCAAAATGATCGAATTTTAATTGAAACGAAAATTAATATTATATCATTTCGGTTAATTGTCAAAACCGGTACGTACCGGCCGGTACGGTATGATTTTGACTTCTTTGAAACAAACCATAAAATATCATTAAAAAAAAAAGATTTTAATTTTAGACTAAAAAAATTATTAGTTTGCCACAAAAAAAAAAGGAATGAACTAATTATGCCCCTAAATTTCACCAACTAATTCTTATTTTTATGACTCAATTGATTAATAATTTAAAATTTTAAATTCAAAATTTGAATTAAGTAGGGAATTTGGGAAAAGTGAATTGCTATCCACTTTTATATAATCAATCATCTTATGCACTAAAAAATGAAATCATTGTGATATCACTGAGATACTAACAATTTAGAAGGCATTGAGTATTTTTCATCAATATTGCAAATGACAAAAATGTCATTAATAGAATGTTAACTATATGTTTGGGTCGAGAGGAGAGGAGAGGAGGGAAATATTTTTTAACTAATTAAATTATAATATTTTAAAAATATTATAATTTAATTAATTAAAAAACTTCCTCATTTTCTCCTCTCCCCTTCATTCCCTTCAACCCAAACTACTATAGGTTGGTTGGTGATTAAGGGAGTAAAACAGCAATTTTTTGACTAAGGGGTAAAATAGCAAGTGGGAGGCAATCGATCCTAGCGAAATGATCCTAGACATTGTAAAAGCCCGAGCACTCTAAACACGCAAGGTTCACGATTTTCCTACAATCACATTGTTTATGAGAGTACTGTTGTTTATTTTTGTTGTTAGTTTCTTTGCTTCATGTCTTCTATTGCATTGGTTTTATTATGCTTAAACCATGTAGTTTAATTAATGTAATATTCATGATATATACTTTAATTTCTCACATCTTATCCATCTTTTTTTTTTTTCTCTTGTATACTTTTTTGCAATTAATTAGTTTTTAAAAGTAAAAATGATATTCTTACTTAGATTTTAAGTAATTAAAGGGAAAATATATAAAAAATAGATTTAAAAAAAATACCTTCCTAATAAGAAAGAATGTTCTCTCATGTATATATTTAAGAAAATAGATCCACCTATTATTTTAATATATAAAAT